ATAAATAAACTGCAAACATATGTACTTTGACCGAAACATGATTGCCAGATCAAAATGGAATTGATAGAAACTGCAAAACACAGCTTTTACAGCATACCTCTAACACTTCTTCTCGTCGCCTTACCATCCACAAGCTAACGGACAGATAGAAGCTGTGAATAAAATTATCAAGAATGGTCTGAAAAATCGGCTCGAGACCGTAAAGGGATCGTGGTCGGATGAGCTACCCCACGTCCTCTGGGCTTACCGGACGACGACCCGAAATTCAATCGGAGAAACTCCATTTTCATTAGCATACGGAACCGAAGCTGTGATACCTGCTGAACTTACCTCTCCGACATATCGGATTACCCATTTTTCTGAAAAATCTAATTCAGAAAACTTGAGAGCTAATCTCGACTTAGTCGATGAAATACGAACCAACGCAAAAATTCAAAATGCCGCTTATAAACGACGTAGTGAAAAATACATCAATTCAAGACTCAAGCCACGCTCATTCGTCGTAGGAGACTTCGTGTTGAAAAGAATCACCGGGGCCAATGTTGGTCCGTTACAACCGAAATGAGAAGGACCCTTCAAAGTGAATCGTTTAATCTCTAATGGAACCTACCGACTTAAAACTTTGGATGGTGTTCCCCTTCAATATCCTTGGCACGCAACTTATCTGAAGAAGTACTACCAGTAAATCTGAAGGCCAAACCTCTGTCCCTGATGTATGAAAATCTTTTGTCCTACTTATGTACAAGAATCATATTTTGTTGTCAATAAAGTTTGTGTGACGAACCACTGTAAATTGTTCGATCACTTAGACCACAATAAATCGGTCCTCGTTGCTAAGGCTAAACGTGTTTCATACCCTGAAATTGGTATGACCTAGCCAAACGCGACAAAGCCAGATACTTCCAAGCCTTGAAGTTGGTTTGGGGAGGCTTATGCTCTAAATTATCAAATCCCGACGATGATTTGATGAGCTTACAATAAATGTTTGCGATAAAAGCAAGTTTTTAGTAACTTGTTCTGATAACGAGTTTGCAGATGTCGGATATACTATGAATTATGCCGACACCAGAAATTTGAACAAACTCATAACAAGGAAAAATGTAAGTGCCAAGTAACGTATCGGAGTAAATGTTCATTTATCCTTACTCCGACATGTTTTGACTCGTTATAAATATGTCAAAACCATACATTCATGGAACATGAAATCAAAATATCAAATTTCATTCATAATAAAGCATTGTTATTACATACGATGACAGAAAAAAAGAAAAACAGACAGATAACAAATTTTATTCATCTGTCTTGGTCCCCGACGACGACGCTTCTCCGGCTGTCGAAGATTGGAAGTTCCCGACTTCGGTTTTGCTCTTGTCCGCCGCGTCCAAATGGTTTATCAACCTACCACCCAGGCGTTGCATCACCTCTTCCTCCTTCTCTTCCATAGCACGGAGGACTTCGCTTTCTTTTATAATGACGACATCATCATCCTCGTGCAAGACTCAATCGTCGTCGGAGGGAATCAGTTCGGTCAGCCACCCTTTGGCTTTGGCATCGTCCTCGGCCGCTTTTCTTAAAGACCAACCGATAATTGCTTCCATGAGCTTCTCATCAGATAAGCTTTCCAAAGTTTCAACGACGAATGCCTCAGCAATCGCCTCAACACATATATTCGCCAAGTCGGGTTTTTTTAAGCTTCTCCACTTCAAGTACCATATCAATGAAGCCCCTGCGAATTTTGGCTTTGCGCTCTTCCGACAACGGCGCCATGTCTAGCTTGAGCATCCGACCTTCCTTTTGCGTGAGAAGTCGGTTAGAAAAATCTCGTTCGTCTTGGTCGGCCGGAATGTGAGCATTCTTGATTTCAGGATTGAGGCGATGCTTTTCCATCTTCTCCAGAAGAAAGATGTGCAGCTCATCGACG